CTAGATGCAGAGATGCTCTTTAGCACATGCAGAATGTCTGGTCTCAGCACTGAGCTGTAATGTTCAGAAAGGAGGAGAAATCAGTGCAGTGAGCAAAATAATTTATCAGATCATTCTGTGAAATGCATACTTCTTTCCTTGTAAATCTAAACTATTTTTTTGATGCTCTCTTTCAGCATTTTAGCATGCATAAATCCTGAAGCGGTGGTTCCTGGACTGAATTACATGTCATTTGCCAACGTCAGCATGTGTGGTTTAACTCCTAATGTAGCTGATCTGAGCATGGAAGCAAATGCTATAGCACTCAAGTATCTCAGTGAAAATCAATTATCTAGGCTTTCTCTCAGTCGCTCGGGCCAAAATCCTTCTACTGATTTCTGTTTCCAAGACATCTTGCATTCAAATGTGGAAAAGAGCATGGTGGGTCTCAGCTGGATTTCACCCAACAATATGTCATTTGCAACCATGAAGTACATGAAACGGTATGGACTGATACAGGGAGGGGACAGTAGTGAAGATGAGGAGGAGCTGCATGTTCCAGATGGCAGTCATGGCACTGTCGAAGGTGAAAGCGTGCTGCACAAAAACCTTACCCCTCTGGATGGCTTGAACCACAGGACTGAATTCTCCAAAAGAACTGATGAAGGAACCCCCATTCACCTGAAAAGTCCCAGCAGAGAGTTGACCACTAATGCTCTTCTACCAGAATTGAACAGCCCTATATTAAGAAACATTACAAATGAAATTTTTCTTCCCAGAGCAGAACAAGCGAACGAGAACTCGGTTCAGATTTTAAAGGATTTGAAGTCAAAGCACAAATTGTTACCTGGGAAGGTTGAATTCACCGAACAACCTGGCAGGAAAGGTGGAGGAGATATTCAGGTATTTGCTGGGAATCTGCATGCTCCAGCCCTTGGAACACTAAGCCAGTCAAACAGCGTGAATTCTGTTGGCACCATTCTTGATGTGAAGCAACTCAGGCAGCTGCCAAAGCTGTTCTGAGCGTCTCCCCAGAGAACTGGTAGATGCTGTTTCAAATCTAAAAGGGACCCCTTTGTGAAAGACGACAGGAAACCAAGGATTAAGTTATCTTTTATGAGGTCACTTTATTGTAACGACATTAAAGCTTGCAAAACTGAGCTTTTTTTCGTTCAGGTTGGTGAGAGCCGCTTCCAGGTGTCTGCATCAGCACTGCTCAGCATGGAAGTATGTTTGCACTTTTGTTTACAGTTTAACACAATTTTGAAGTATCTAAAAGGTGAATCGACTTGAACCCAGGATGTCCTCTTTGCTTAGCTGTAATAATGCTGCTTGTTTTTTACCTGCTTTTTAATTGACTTTTTTTTAAACAGTGACTTGTACTTGCTTGTGCCACCTGTGAAGCCATAGAGCCCGTGTGGCATTGCAGGAGCTAAAGCACTGACTTCCAGAAGCTTTGTTTGGATTGCTGTGTGGGGTTGTGTTGGTGGGCAGGGCCATGTAATCGTGGCTGTACTGTGCTTAAAGTTACTTTGATTTTTGGGCAGGATGGCAGATGTAACAGACTGTATCATGAGATCTTACAAGGAAATTGGAAAAACCAGCACTTTTATCATTCTTGTGATTTTATTCTGTATGTTTTCTATTTATTAAAATGGACATATTGCTCCTAGAGGCTCAAGTTTTCATTTACAAAAATAACAAATAAAGCTACCTTCAGTTGTTTGTGGTATTTATGTATGAACTTGCCCCTTCCCTGGCGTTGTGTGGTGTGGCTGATGAAGTCACTGTCGCTTGGTATTCAGCAATTGCAATATTGGGTGGTGGGATAAGCAAAAATAAGAAAAAAAAAATTGTTTTACTTTTGTTCCTTATTAACATACAGATTAGTCTGTGAAAGCATTACGGTCTATTACTGAAATTGCTGTTACAGGATTATGGAAAAGGGCTGCTCCACAAGTAGAGGAATTCAGTTATCAATTAACTGTTCCCTTTCTGTTAGCAGTTTGACTCCTGGTTGAATTTTTAGGTGTAGTGGACATGTCTGTGCTTTCTTTTTTCCTGCTGGAAGTCCCAGGTGCTCAGTGCTGGCTCTGACAGCTCTGCTTCCTTTGGCAAGTCCTGCCTAAGGCCACAGCTCAACAAGCATCACTGTGGTGTAACACAGCTCCCTTCTGACCTCTTGGGCTTGGAAATGAGACAGCAGCAGTGGAAGTTGCAGTTTAGTCCAGTTCCCACCATCCATAACATCCAGCCAAAGCTGAATGACAGCAGAGCCATCTGTTTTCACCCTGGCTCTGCTGCATCAACATGCTTTGAGCTTAAAACAAAGTTTGTTCAGGTCTGTGCTAATGATGGCATTGTCTCAACAGAAGTTCAGCCTCTGGTGCTGACCTTGTCTTTCCTGCTCACGGGGTGTTGAACTGGAAATTAAAGCAACCCATGGTAATGTCCCAGGTCTTTCCTGTTCAAATCCAAAGGGCTACAGTAACTCTGGGAGTTTGTGGTAGGTTTGAGCGTCTAGTAATTGCTAATTAATTGATTATACCAGCAAGAGTGTTTTCTAGCATCTACCACCTCCGAGGCCATTGTGAGCTAAAGAAGTGGGAGAAATAAGCTGCTTGCTATTTCAGAGCAAGGCTGGACTGCCTCTCTATGGAACAGAAAACAGCAGCTTGCATTAGGCTGTGTCAGAATTCCTTTCCTTGCAGCAGCCTCTGCCATCAATATGGATATTTGCTGCCTTTCAGGAGCCATTGCTTTCCTATGCTGAGAAGCAGGGAGCCTGGGCCGTGCTCAATCTGGTGGCTCAGGTCCAGGCTTGCTGTCTGGCAGCCTGTTTTCTGCTGAAGTAGTTAAAAAATAGTTAATGTTTTTGGACATTCCACTGGGATGAATGAGGCAATTCATACCTCTGAGCTATTGTTGTAGGGTTTTGTTCTTTGTTTCCTATTGTAAAATGTCTGGAAACACAGGAAGATGACAGTTGTATTGGTTAGTATTTTGAAGACTTTCTTCAGATGCTTGAGGGCTAGAACCAAAGCGAAAACAAAAGCCCAACTGCTTGCCCACAGCTCGGGATGAGGGTGTGGTATCGCGCTGAGTTACACAAGCCATGTCATGCTGATGGCAAATGGAGTGAGCTGTTAATTTACCAACCAACAAAACAAACCACCCTTCCCTAAAACTGCATTTCCTTTTGCAATGTAGTGCTGAGCAGCTGGAAGGCGCTGGGCTTTGGAGCCGTAACCAAACTCAAGCTGTGTTTTGTGGGGAGGGGGCAGCCCTGTTCAAGGCTTTACAGTTCATGGAGTCACAGAACGGCCCGGGTAGGAAGGGACCTTATGGATCATCCAATTCCAACTCCATACTGCAGGCTGGTTGCCCCCCATCGGCGCAGGCTGATGACTGAATCAACTCGGGCTGGATGTCTCCAGAGATGGGGCACACGCAGCTTATCTGGGCAGCCCCGTGCCCAGCGAGGGTCCTTCACAGCCACATGGATGCAGCTCCCACCCCGCCGGGGGGCTTCTGCTGGGGGCGTTCAGAAGATGCTCGCCTTCCTAATCTCCCCAGCCCAGCCCCGGCTGTTCTATCTTTAACACTTCCTGTTGGTTAGAGGAGCCGGCTTGAAAATGGTCGTGTTTCCTGGCTGGAGGCGCGGCGGAGCTCTCCAACGCGTCGTGACCGGCCCCGCCGCACGCACCCGCACACGCACTGCCGGCATCGTGAGCGCACAGCGACCCGGGGGGCGAACCTCTCCCACGGCCGCATCCAGAGAGGGAAGCTGAGAGGGGAAGGAGTGAAAGGAAGAATAACAGCTCCGGCATTTCCCCGCTCGAGCCCGTGTGCGTGCAGGTGGCGGGGACACAATAGCGACCCGCGAACCCCCCAGCGCATCGCCGCGGGCAGGTGCGGCCGCTCCGCCCTGCCCGTCCGCCCCTTTTCCCCCGGGATGACACGATGGAGGTTCACTGTCCCGTAGAGGGGATCGAGGCCCTTTCTGAGACCGGTCCAGCCTCGATCCCGGCCTCCCCGTGCCATTTCTTTTGTAATTTCGTTGATTTTCGAGGGATCGAAAATCGCTCTCTGCCGCCGTCTTTAGGGCAGATGGACGTAGAGATGACAAACGGCACCCTCTGCCATCCCTATCTCTCCCCGCTTCCTCCGCCGGGCAACGTGGGGAGGTGCCCTCACGTCCCCCTACCCCCACCTCATACCCCAAAGCCCGCACGGGGAAGGCCGGCACCGTCCCCATTCCCCCGTTCCCGTTCCCAGCTTCTCGACCCCACGAGCTCCAGCCTCGACGGGGCGCGCTCCCGGCTCCTGCCCTTTCCCCCTTTCTCCCTTTTCCCCTTTTCCTGCACGCTCTGCCGTGGGCTCGGCCTGAGCTCTCCCCAATTCTCCCGTCCCAAATTTCCCGAGCTCGAGCCGTGCCCGATCCCTCCCCATCCTCCAGTGAGGATGCTCAGCCACCCCAATCGGGGCGCTAATAAAGGACACCCGCACTGCAGCGGGGCACGAAGGCTGCGGATGGGGCCAGAGCAGCCCCACGCCCCTTCCCTCTCTCTTTCAGCATCCCCACCAATTTATTTTGGCTCATTAAATTTAATTAAGAATGGAGTATGTGCTCCAAAAAAAAAAAAAAAAAAAAAAAAAAAAAAAAAGGCACCCAGCAAAATGCAGGGGGCAATAATAACCTCTGAGAGGACTAAAATAAAGAATCGCCATTCAGACTCGGGCAGCACAGTGTAATATTTTATTACTCCTTTTTTTTTTTTTGCAGTGTCTTTTTAAGAGCATCTAAGCACACACACATAAAAAGCTAGAAGGCATTCCGGAGTTATTCCTATGCATATCCCTGCAATAATTTTCCGCTTTCCTTCGATAAAATTGCCAAATAATAATGAATCATTTCATAAATAATGGGTTTAGAAGCTTATCAGGGCAGGCGGGCCACTGCTGGGGCTTTATCTCTCTCGGCCACATTGCAGTAGTGTTCCGCTCTCCATACTAAATAGGAAACTGGACGTGATGTGGAATTAGAGCCTCCCCAGCTGAAGCCACCCCACATTACTACAAATATAGCCGCCATGCGTAGGCCACAAAATGGCTCCACTCACTTTTCCCAATGAAAAGCAAATGGTGAGTGGGGAGGGATCGGGCCCCGCAGCGGGATGGAGCTGGAGGGGGGCGCGGTGGGGGGCGGAGAGGGGGGGATTTTGGGGGCATGCGGGGGTCTTCTGCAGTGTGTTAAAGACAGGTGAAAGGGGGAAAAAAACCCACAAAAACAAATGCGGCTTTTCCACGGTTGGGCTTTATTTTTTCTGTTGTTCTCCTTTGATGGGGGGGTGGGGAGGAGGGAGCTGAGGTTGCCTTTCCTTGCTCACCCCCCACCCGGGCGCGGCCCCCACTATCGGGGCTCTGTGGGGCCATGCAGGGCGAAGCAGGGAGATGTGGGGAGATGCCCACAGCTCCGCCGGGGGGGCCCGACGTGAACCGACCGCAGGACGGCTCATGGGGGTTTCTCCCCACCCCGTTCCCCATCCCTTTCCCGCTCCGTTTTGGGGGGTAATTCTCCCCACCATGGGCACAGGGAGAGGTGCCCGGCCGGGGTGGAAATTTCCTGCCCATCCACGGCCGCAAAACAAAAGGAGTTGGAGGCGCAGAACAGAACGGGTGGGGATTTCATGCCCTCCCTCCCCTCCATTTTCTCCGTGCGTTTACCCCAAAACGAAACGAAAACGCCGCAGATGCGGGGCATTTTTTTGGTTTATTTCGTTTTAACGAAAAAAGAAAAAAAAAAACCCAAAACCCAGAGTAGAAACCGACGGGATTATTCCGTTGTTTAACGAAAAGCAAAGCCCCCGCTCGGCATTTCGCTGCGGGGGGGGGGGGGCACGGACGGCTCTCTTCCTGTTGATCGCAGCGGGGCCGCTCCGGACGGACACCGGCCCCGATCCTCCGCGCTGTGCTCCGCGGCTCCGGGAGCGGCCCCGCCGCTATTCGCGGCCGCATCGGAACGAACCAACCCCGACCCCATCCGCAATCTCCTTCCCGAAGACACAAATCCAAAAATCCACCTGATTCGGCCCCAAAATATGTATTTTTTTTTCTTCTTTTTTCCCTCTTTTTACTTTTATTTATTAATGCTTTCCCTAGATATATTACAATTTTTTCCCCTAAATAAACCAGTTTTCTCCTTGAATTTATCATCCTTTTCCCCCATAGACACCAGTTCTCCCCGCTCCGCACAGGTTCGGGCCGTGTGCCGGGGCCGTGCGCCTTGCCCCCGTCCCCGCGGTGCCATTCCCGTGTCCCCCAGACCCACCCTCTCTCTCCCTTTCTCTCCCCCCCTTCTCTTCCTCCCAGGCTTTAGCAGTTTTATCCCGATGCGGGTGTCCTTCCTCTCTGTAAAATCGTAAGTACCTCGAGGTGGGAGGAGTAAATTCAGCCTGACACTGAGAGCGCTTTTGTTGAAACGGGAGAGACTCGCGGTGTCCCTACTTAAATATGACACATGTGAGTAATCTCTTCCTATACAATATGGGAATAGGCAATTAGATGCTCTTTCTTGAGGGCTGGCAGGGCGGGGGGAGGCAGTAAAGCTTTGGGTTGAACGGTTGATATTATTCTTACTATGATTATAATTATTATAGATGGAGAGATGTGATCAAAATAATAATAATAATAATTTTCTCTGGGGTTGGATCAACCCAGAAATGATAATAATTGACCCAAAGAGAAGCAGCGGGGATGTCGGGAATGAGATCTGCTCCGTTATGTATAGGGAGAGGAAAAAAAGAAAGAAAGGTAGAAAGAAAGAAAGAAAGAGCTAGGAGGGCGGTGGGAGAAGTAGTCGCGATAGTGCTGCCCGCCCTCGGCTCTGTCGCGATAGTTTCGTTATGGGGGTGAAAGAAGGGAGCGGGGCCGCATACAATTGCCGTGCGCGGCCGCGGTTGCTTCGAGCCGGGGCCCCTTCCTCCTTCCTGCTGAGCTCATGGGGGTGCGGGGCTTTGTGTGAGCGCTTCTCCCCCCCATTCGGCAGCGCCTGAAGCTTGGTTTCCATGTTGAAAATTAATAACAATTATTCTAGTACGAATAAAGTACAAATTCCACCCCAGTGGGCCGAAATGTCCTCGAAACGGAGCTGGGAGAACCTCCGGCCTCCTTCCAGTTCCCTGTCCCTATGGGTGCGGTGCATCCCCAGGGTCACGGTACAGGGGTACAATGGATGTGGGGGGGAGGAAGGGGGGGGTTCTTCCCGGACCGCCCCGCCGCCGCTGCGTGACGTCCCGCGGCCGAAACGGGGGGACCCCCTGTCGGCTTCGGGCCGCCCCGAGCGCTGCTCTCCCCGCAGGACGATGGACAGGCCGCCCGCCCCGCCGCCCCCCAGCAGTGACCCCCGCGATGCCCGCCGCCACGACCCCGAAGCGGAGCCCACGAGCGAGCCCGACAGCAGCCGCGGGGGCATGGAGCCGCCGGCCGAGCCCCAGCTGCTGCTCAACGGGGCGGCCAAAGAGGCGGGCCGACCCTCCCCCGGGCCCCCCGCCGCCGCTGTGCCCGTCATCGAGCTGGTGCGCCGGGGGGGCTCATTGGACATAAAAAGCCGAGAGGCGGCGGGGGAAGCGATGCAGAGAGCGCCGGGCGCCGAGCCGTGCCGCGCTGCCGAAGCCGCCTGCGAAGCCCGCATGGTGCAGCTGAGTCCCCCCGCGCTGCCGCTGCAGCCCCCCGGCAGGGCCATGCTCTACAACCTGGGGCAACCGCTGGGCACCATCGGCAGGTTCGTGCCTCCCCCCCGCTCCCCACCGCGTCCCCGGGGCTGAGGGGAAGGAGAGGAGGGAAGAGGGGATATTTGGGGGGGAGAAGGGGAGGGCTGAGTCATCTCCAAAAAAAAAAAGAAAAAGGCAAACTTTGCGAAGGAAGAAAGGAGGGAAGAAAAAAAAAAAAAAGAACAGAACGAAAATCCGTCGTTCCCAGAGGGGGGGAAAAGCCTGGCAGAAATACCACGGGCTGAGCCGATATGGGGCATTTCGCTGTGGTCCTGTGGTGGGGTATAGGGAGGAAAGAGGCTGAGCTGTGCGGTGCTTCCAGAGCTCCTCCGCTCAGCCCCAGGGATGGAAAATGGCCCCACGGGCACAGCGCGGATCCCACGCCGGGGGTCCCTTCCATCCCCCGTGGGCTCCGGGGTCCTTGAGCATCTCCCCAGAGGTCGGGGCCGCCTCACGCCGCTCTGCCTCTGTTTGCAGCGGGTTCTTCGGCGAGCCGGACTCCTTCTCCATGTACGGCAGCAACCGGGTGAAGAGGAGACCGTCGCCCTACGAGATGGAGATCACCGACGGTGAGTACGGTGAAAAGCCCAAAACGTGAAGGGGGAACATGGTGGGATGCGGCGGGTGCCTCGCGCTCGGGGAAGGCACAGCACAGATCTGTGTGCAGTGTGGGTGGTGCCATTGGGTTGGGGGCAGCCGGCCTCACAGGTCGCTCTGAGACGAGCGGCAGAGGAAGGCACCGTGCTGGGGGCTGTGCTGAGGTGCGGGGTCAAACGGTGGGGGTGGGTTGGTGGTTGGACTGCATGGTCTTAAGAGGTCCTGCCCAACCTCAGCGATTCTATGGTTATAGAAACAGACATGCTGTATTCTAATAAGTAGACAATATTTGATCGTACCCGAATTTTTGGCTCCAGGTGTTTATAGGTAGGGCTGAATCTTGCAGATCCCACCTCATGTAAACTTGCAAAATTAGGATCAATTTGAGGTGGAATACAAGTACCGAATGGTGCCATGAGGAGTCAGCACGTGTCACCAGTGCTGGGCTGACCCTGTGCTCCCGTGGGCTCTGATGGTGATGGCACACTGCAGGGGACAGCACTTAGTGATGGTGCCACTCTGTACAAAACATACACGGGGAGACAGAGATGTGAAAAATTATCTGAGAGGATACTCCGTAATTTTGGAAGCTTGTCTTCTTGCTGGTTTTCTTTGGATCTGTAATTACAATCGCAATTTAATAAGCATGGATCAATCCATCGATTGGAACAAAATCCAGGCATAACTTTGCAGCCAACTGCTTGGCTTAATTAGGGGGCTTCTCTATGAGAAATGAAGCTCTTCCATGAGCTTCCATACAGCTAAGGGGTATTTTAAATTTCTCCACTGCTTGACACACTTTGCCCCAAACCTGTTCTTCTAAGAATATGGTTAATTTAGTTGCTGGCACTGATGGAAGAATCAAACATTGTAGTGGTGTCAGACTTTGTTGTATTCTTGATCTTGTTTGGGGAGGAAAATGGACAGGTCAGTGTTTGGTTTCAGCATTTCATGAGACATTGCCTCTTAGTAGGCAGCTTCCTGTAAATGAGATGTGCTGGAAGCCTGTGAAGATTGAGATTTTTGGATAATTAACACGATCCACATTTCTTTTCCTTATTCCATTATGAATGCAAAAAGATGTTAAGCTGCACCTCCTAAATCCATTACTGCATGCTGTTTTGTCCAGAAAGAGCATTTAAGAGCAGGAATTGTGTTGCTGTAGGAGATGACAGCACGTTGTCACTGCATTCAGCAGAGCCAGGCAGCTGTGGTGGCTGAAGTCCCTTTGGTCCCCACAGAGGAGAGACGATGTGTGATGAGAATCCCACAGCCCATCCTTTAGGGTGCAACTCATCAGCATGTTAATTGAACACTTCATTTGTTCATTTTGTTAATTGAACACATCTGTGGTGATTTTCACTGCCTGTGATGTTCCCTATTCCTTCCAGCATGGCCATTCTCCCATAGTTTCTTGAGGTTGCTGCATCCTTCCATTGTCAGTGTGTGCTGGAGGTGAGGATGGAGATGGCTGATGGCAGTGTCTCCTTCCACACACTGCTTTCTGTGGATCCAAGGACTTGCAGTCCTGATTTCACTTCTGGGCAGACTTCTGCTTTGTGTCTCTCCCAGCATAGAGGCAATGCCACCTCATGCCATCAGGAGCTGCCTCGATGAGCTGAAAGCAGAACCAATAGAGGGAGAATGGATGATTGCATTCCTGAGCACAGGAATACCTCCTGTTACATGCCCTACAGGAATATGGCTGTAAAACTAGAAATTTAGCTGGCACTGACAGTAGCAGAGCCAAATGGTCATCATTGGCAATTGGGAGACCCTTCTCCAGTCAGTGTCTGATGGAGAATCCTTGCATTGATGAGCAAGAGGGAGCAGGAGGTCCATGGGCCAGCTGGAAAGCTGCTTTGTCCTCCTCCCATGGTCACCCTTGAGGCAAAGACACTGCTTCCACGGTGTGTTACACAAGGGTGAGTCCTGCTGCCCCATCACACAAAGCACCTGGAGGGCTGGTGATCTCTGCTAGATCTCCTGATCCTGGTGACATCAGGGCAGAAGGAAGATCTTGGGATCTTGGAGCTGTTAAATCCTCAGCTCATGCCAATTTCCCCTGTCCCAGTGATGTGACTTTTGGGATAGAAAAATAAAGCCATCTGGTGAGCTAGCCTTTTGATAGGATCTTTGTTGCTGAGATACCCTAAAAATACATGTAATGGTGAGCCACCCTCCTTGGAGAGCTAAATTTAGGCATCTCAGGGGGCATCTAGAAAGGTGCAACTCAACTTTTCCCTTCCATTGAACAGGAGCTGTGGCTGTTGCGACTCCTTGGTTAGCTTCCTGCTAGTTGGAAACTCTTGGTCCTGTGCCTTGATGATGGGACTAAAATAAATAGAGTATCTTGAGAAATGAGCAAGTTATTAAATGACCGGAGAGATGGTGGAGATTCAAGAACCGTGGAGATGAGAGACTGAGGGACGCGGTTTTGGACACTATTGGTGGTAGCTGGATGGTTGGACTGGGTGATGTCAGAAATCTTTTCCAACCTTAACGATCCTGTGGTGCTATGATTCTACGAGCCGGTGGGCGCTGCTAATAACTGTGTGCCATTGCAATTGCAGGTCCTCACACGAAGGTGGTCCGCCGCATTTTCACCAACAGCCGGGAGAGGTGGAGGCAGCAGAACGTGAACGGAGCCTTCGCGGAGCTCCGCAAACTCATCCCCACGCACCCGCCCGACAAAAAGCTGAGCAAGAATGAGATTTTGCGCCTGGCTATGAAATACATCAACTTCCTGGCCAAGCTGCTCAACGACCAGGAGGAGGAAGGAAACCAAAGGGGTAAAGTGAACAAAGACTCGGGGATAGTTCAGGAAGACCTCCTGCAGGACATGCTGTCTCCGAACTCCAGCTGTGGAAGTTCTTTGGATGGAGCAGCGAGCCCGGACAGCTTCACAGAGGAGCACGACACGCTCGACTCCAAGCACGCACGGAACCTGCACCATGCCATCCTCCCTGTCGAAGGCAGCGCGCAGCGGTGATGACCCCAAATCACTCCCCGAGCGCTCAGAGAAGGGTGGCGAGACCCAGGTGGGTGGGATTTGGGACCTTCGGCTCCCCGTCTGCTCGGCCCAGGTTGGCACGTTGGCCAACCGAATGGGATGGACGCTCGGTGTTTAGGTACGGGATCGTACGAAGAAGAAAAGCGTTGAAGTCGTCTTCGTTGTACATACTGACTCTGAGGATGGGAGGGGAATGCAGCCAGCACCCCTCCAACATTCTGAGGGTTTTTTGGACCGCCTGAGGGTCACTTCTCAAGCAGTCTTGAGGCTGGGACGTGAGGAATGAAACACAGGGCTGTGGAGCACAAGCAACTGGTCCGAGCCATGCTCCCGTTGACCAAGACCTTCTGACTGTATCTTTTTAATGAGGTGAAAAATACCCTCAGCAAAAGAACTATTAAAAGGATTGAGACTTTCTTTTTCCTCTCTCTCTCTCTCTCTCTTTTTTTTTTTTTTTTTTAATTGTTTTTGTCCCCTTTCCTTTCCCTTCTACCTAAAGTTGGATAGTTTGGGGTGTTGTATTTATGACGTGAGATTCCTTCTGTTCAACGCCGTCATGCAGTATCCACTGAACATAAAGGTACATACGGTGTTCTGTGCTCCCCACCACCCCCTGAGCCCCCTTCCCTGTGCTGTAACACAGCAGGTGAGATCCTGCAGTGGTCTCCCTCAAGTTTCCCCAGAGGTTTCTGTAGGGCTGAGCTTCTCTCAAGGAAGATGAAACTCAAAATTGGTTAAGGAGAGAAAAGGTGACTAGCGATGCCCTCCCCTTGAACCAGGGACTTTTTTGAATGAAAAAAAAGTGAAAGGAATCAATGATGCATCAGCAGTTTGAGTGTACATAGGGTTTTAAAAGGGTTTCAGTGGTATGCTTTGAACTTCTTGGTTTTGTTGTGTGAAAGTAGTGGTGGTAGTGCACCCCTGCAAGCACCCACAGACTGGATGCAATTAGACAGTAGGAGGCCGTTGATTGGCTGAGGCTGGTAGGAGCCACAGCCTTGTTGTATCTCCTGGCCTGGGGTGAATGCTAAGAGCACTGATGGGATCATCCCGAGGTCTTAGGGGCTGCAGAGCTGGTTTGGGACCAAGTGTCAGTGCTCTGTGGTTCCTCTGTTTCTGGTTCCTTCATGTGTAGAGGCTCCAAGGCAAAGAAATTGTAGTGTTACACCACAACCCAACGTCCTTCATAAGGGAGAAAGCCTTTGGGCTTGGCTTTAGGGCCTCTTGTAAATAATAGGCTGAGACTTTTCTCAGTGTAGAGCAGGTGCATTGGGTGGGATGTACTCCCAGCCCAAGCCAGGGCTTTGAGCTCAGCCCCAAGTTGTTAGAAACCAACAGCATCCCCCAGCGTGTAGTGGGGAGAAGGAGGACAGTGCCCTCCTGTATCCAGACCCTGAATAAAGGGACAGCTTAAGTGAAGGAGTTACCATGGGGCAGTGCTGAGCACGAGGGGCTGCTGTAGTCACTGGTGTCCCTGGGAATGGGCACCTGGGTGGTGACCTGGGGTGGGAGGAGAGAGGGGGGCCTCATTCACTTTTTGTCAAACTACTGCAAGAAAAAAGACCACCAACACTCTGAGATTTTCCTCATTCCCCAGAATTCTGGTTTGTTTTGCTGTTTTTTTTTTTGTTTGTTTAATTTCTCCCTTTTTGGTAGCTGGACAGTTGGCCAATGGTACAACCTCCTCGGTCCCCACACGCACACCTGCCCATAGCACGCTGCCGTCCTCCCGGGGTATGTACAGTTGTCCTTTAATCGTGATTGAATGGTACATTTCCCCCATCCACCCACCTTCCCCCCTGCCTGCTTCACGTCTCCGTGTGTGGAACATCGCCCCGGTTCTGTTGGAACAGCACTGCTGCTCAGTGTCGTACCGTGTGATTGAATTCTCCCCCTGCCATTATTTTCTCTCCCAGCCCCGTCCCTCTCTCTGCCACCCTCCCTTTGGCTTTCTGCATTTTTTCAGCAGAAACAAGGTAACCAGACCCGGTACCCTGACTCTCGACCCACTGTGGATGTGCTATTTAGAAAACACATTTGTTGTAATGTGTGTGTATATATAAATATATATATATAATGAATATATCAAGAATATTTCTAAATAAAGTTTTACAAAGCAGCCTCCGCTTGCTTTCCTCTCTCCCCCCCTCGCACCCATCGGCAATTCAGCTCTGTGCCCAGCTGGGAAAAGCTGCCAACAGCCAACAGATCCCTTGCAAAACCATTTCCCCATCCTGAAAGCAGGAAGGAAGCGGTGGTGTGGAGCAATCCCCCATGTTGGGCGGGCGCCTGGGCACTGCCACCTGCTGTGTGCATGTCCCCAGAGGTCCCTCACTGGTGGCCTTGTCTCTCTTTTGGGGATGGGGCTGCTGGGGACAACGCTGCTGTGCTCGGAGCTGAGCAGTGTTTGGCTAAGGCTCAATAGGCAGTCATAGGCAACGGTGGGTAGTTGTAGGAATTCCTCCTTTATTTTAATTAAAAAAAAAAAAGAAACGAATGTCAGAGCCTGGTGCACACTAAAAACACTAAAAAACAGTTGAGCTGGTGACATCAGTCATTTATATATATGTATAAATAAGTGTATATTTATATATACATAAATATATATCATTAATAGGCAATATTGAAGATGGTATAAATACACATGTATATCATTTACAGGCTATGCTGAAGGTGGCATACATACACACATACATCATTTACAGGCTATGTTGAAGGTGAATACAGCTGCAGCATGCCACAGCCATGCCGTGAGCAGGAGGACGACACCATTCCCCTCCATCCCTATGACTTTGGCAGTCCCCTTCAGGGTGTGCAGAGCCCCACAGTTGAGGCGTTGGGTGTTATCTGCTGCCAACCCCATCGCTGCTGAACAGATGCTCCAACCCCATCCCCACTCTGTCCCGGATGGAGCTGATAGCTCTCGCACCCTTTATCTCTCCCTCCCACATCCTATTCTGCTCCCTGCCCAGGACAAGTTTCCCTCTTCCTCCCCCTTCAAGCAGCCCTTGCACGCACCCAAGGTGAGGGTTTATAAGCACTCCCTACACGTTTACACTGAATATACAGCTCTATGGACAATGCTGGGAAGGAGTGATGCCACTCATCCACTGTGTCACCCCCTGACGCTCCCATTCCAGGTGGAAAATTCAATTTATCTTTCACCATTTGTTAATTTTATCTGTTTGCAATGGTGTTTCTTTGCAATGGGTGATGAACAGTGCCCCGGCCCCAAATATTTTCTGTATTTAGGAAAAGCTCCTTAGGGCCAACCCTTGCACAGAGGACAACAGCCTGGGTGCTATGGGTAGCTCTGGCCCTCAGACAAACCTGGGTTCACCACCATTGGTGTTGGATGGAGCCAACTGGTTATGGACATTACCTTCAGAAGTGATGGGGATTTTGATCCATCTCTTACTGCAGGGAATTTTTTGGCAAATCATAGGATGGCATTGAAAGACATTTTGTTTGTTCACCTTTCTCCTGTGCCCCTGGTCATACGAAGGCTCCCAGGGGCAGAAAATCCCCATGTCATGCTGTGCTTCTGCAGTGGCTGTGGCACAGATGAAATTAGGAAGGAGGGGAAGTGGCATTTAGATAAAATTGAATTAAAACTATAAGAAAAGAGAAGGTGGGAGAAGCACACTTTTAAAACCAGCAAAACAAGAAACAAAAAAGCAAAATCACCCCAAATTTGTGCAGCTTTCATTGTCCAGCCTCATTATCTGGCTTTCACTACAGCCTCTTTGGGAAAGCCAGGCTCCAGGGCAGCCTAGACTGGGAAAAAAAGCAAGCACCTGCATTACTCAGTGCCTTCCCACATTATCAAATTAAAATATGCTCACGGAACAACAGACCCCAAATATTCCCACCCATGCAGGCGATGGGAAAGCTTCACCTTCATTATTAGCAGCCACTGACAACTGGGAGCAGTAATTTATTGCTGGCAGAGCTGCTCCCTGCTCATCCCACGGCTGCCAGGGTTCCCACAAAGCCACACAAAGGCTGCGGGTGCCCAGGGGACCGCATGCTGTCACAGGCAGAGCCGTTCATCCTCCCATTCCTCCCTTGCCTGCCTGGTTCTCCTGTCTCTCCCTTTGCTTCTTGCTGCCCAACACCTGAACACCGCCTGGGGCTCACTGAGTTGTCACACTCCGGGATAAGGCTCACAGTGATGGCCAACCCTATTAGGAACGAAGGTGGTGATGCTCCAAAGCACACAGGGCTCCAAGGAGCCTCACGTCAGGGGTCCCGCCGTCATCTTCAGGTTCGTCACCCTTCGGACACATCGATTTTTCCTCTCTCCTCGAGCTATTCTGAGACGCCCCAGTGACCTTTAGGGGAACAATTTACCATTGTGTTTTGGTGAAGCCCGGCCTCTATTTTTACACTCTGTTTTGCTGATGCGGGCAAAGGGAGCGAGACGGGAATCCAGCAGGAAATGGGAGGGAGCGTCTGGAGCGCAGTTCAATCTGCCCCGACCCTTTGATGTGCCGGGACTGGGGCCGGGCCGGGCCGGGACGGAGGCGGGGATGGGACTACGAGACCCAGGGGGGATTTGCTTTTGTCCCTCCCAGCACTCCACGTGGATCGGGTTAGGGGAGAAGTTTTGTACTCAGGGCGACTCCTCGGCACAGCTGTCCAGAGAGCTGCGGGTGTCCTATCCCTGGAGGTGCTCAAGGCCAAGTTGGATGGGACCTGGGCAGCCTGAGGACATCCAGTCCACGGCAGGGTGTTAGGCTGGGGGTGCTCTAAGGTGCCTTCCAACCCAAACCGTTCTGTGATTCTATCACTCAGACTGCGTGAGATGATGCTTTCACACTACCCTGTACGTCCGCAGGGTCCAACCTGTCTCCTATCCCATCTCCCATCACCCCACCCCGTCTCCTAACCAGTGTCAATCTCGCTCACATACGTACGGCGCTCGATGCCCGCACTTTTGCGTGCACATCCTTCGCTGCCGCCTCCCTGGAACGGGCTCAGGGCACTCCACGTCGCAGATAAGCGCTGCATCAAAGCTACCGCAGCGCACCCGCTTCCTGCCCGCCGGCGGGGCCGGGACCGGCGGGGCCGCTCGGGGCTGCGGCTGCTGCCGGGCCCTTGGCCGCCTCCCGGCGCCATTACCCCGAGCCGCCGGCAGGGGGCGCTGCGGGACGGCCGCAGCCACGGCCCGGTCTCGAGCGGGGCGGGGGCTGCTCTGCTTCGTGACGGCGGTCGGGGGCTGCCGGCACTGCCCGGTATCTTAAGGGCTCGTCTCATCCCTTTCTTTCCTCTTTCCCCCTTTCCCCTTTTCTTTTTCCCGTTCTCTTTTACCCTTTTCCCTTCCTCCTTAACCTTTTCCCCTTCTTCCTTCTCCCTTTCCCCTCTTCCTTTTCTCCTTTCCCCATTTTTCCTCATTCCCTTATTCCTTTTCCCCTTTTCAGTTTTCAATTTTTCCCCATTTCCTTTCTTTTTTTTTTCTCTTTTCCTCTTTCTCTTCCCTATTTGAATTTTCCTCCCCTCCCCTCCCCTCTCCTCCCCTCCCCTCCCCTCCCCTCTCCTCTTTTTTCCACCCCCCTCCCTTCCCCATGCTCCCCATTTCTTCACACCCATTGAAACACCCCTCCACAGCAATGGAAATGGCAAAGACACCCTCAGCAGCTTTCACCTTTAATACTTCAGCCCCATATAGGGCTGCACCGGAGGCAGAAGGTGCTGCAATTTCCCCCATTCCCCCCACTACCTGCACCTGTTTGCTTGGGTCACAGCCAGAACAGCGACATTTATTATTATTATTATTATTATTATTATTATTATTATTATTATTCCTTTTTAATTTTGCAGCCAGCCAAATGCTGCAGAACCCAGAGGCGAAGCAGCCGGGCCAAACCCTGCCCTGTGTTATGGAAATCACGGCTGCCACCCGGCAGATGCGGGCTGAGGAAATAATGCGGCTGTTGAGCCGACACAGAGGAGGAGAGGGGAGCTTTTGTCTGGCACTCGCCGGGGTTGGAGAACACTTGTCGAGCAACAACTGGAGCTCATTGAAAAGAAGTGGAGGTTATTAGGAGCGTTTCGCTCGATGCCGATGGCCCCGTAATTTTTCCCTTCAGATGCCAGGCAGAATCTGTGGGGCTGGGAGGGAGAAGAGAGATACCACCTGACAGCACGCTGATGGTGGAGAGAATAAATAGGGCTGGAAGCAGCCGGCAGGGCTCTGGCAGCTCGGACCCCGTGTTTCAAGGGTGCTTTGCCTTCCCCAGGGTAACTGGGGCAGCACAATGATCAGCTGGCCTGGGAGACATCCATCCATCCCTCTATCTACCCGCCTATCTCTCCCTCTGTCTCGATGCACGACCCTCCAGCCTCCTTTCTCTGCTCTGAAATAAAAAGCAGCGATCCTCTTTCCGAAGCCAGGAACGAAATGAATGCCTTCTCTCCCTAATTCAGGTAGCTCCTCATAAATCTTCCCAGCTTCAGCATGGTCTCCTAGGACTCCTGGGGCAGTTGGGAACCTATGTAATCAGCTCGGATGATCAGCACTGTTTGTCGCTCTCCAGTTGCCGAAAAGCCCTTTGAACCCTTTGTGTCTTTATTGAATGATCCCGGAGTCCCCTGACGATTTTGCCAGTCTGGCCCATTCTGCACGCCAGCTCCTGGGTTAATAACCCACTGAAATCCCGCGGTGAGTGCAGAGGGTGGGGAGAGCCACGGCCCTGCTGCCAAGCCTCTTATCACAGCATCTTCCCATGTCTCCTCCTCGGTGCTCCCACACGCTGCAGATTTCCATGAAAACACAAAACGTGGCCAGCAAGTAGGGCTCAGAGCCAGCATGAGAACATCCAGGGAATGATACACCTGGTGCTGAGAGAAGAAAGCTAAAAGTCCCCCTGGGGAGACTCAGCAGGGGCTGGGGCAGACGAAAAGTCACAACATCCATGGGTGAAAGCATTGATTTTTAGTACATTTTAGTGCTTTCTTGGTTTCAGTTGGTCAGGAACCAAACTGAGGGATGGCGGCTGCTGGCAGAGGTTTGCTGTGATGCTGAGCCCTTTGGGAGCACTGCTCAGGTTGCAGCCTGCTGGAAGCAAATCCAAACCTGTCCAAACCCAGGAAGATTCCTTCCATCAGGGAAATGCTCAGCTGTCATCTTTATAAATTGTTTGAGTTGGAAGGGACTCTTAAAGGTCACCTGGTCCAACTCCCCTGCCATGAACAGGGAGAGCCATGCCCACCTTCAGTGGACAGGTCTCTTGGGCTGAAGTTTTGCTGGCAATGTTTGCCATCTGCCCCAGCATCCCCAATAATCCCATGGTGATCACCAGCCAGATCTGCACCTCTTCTCCAGCCAGTTCTCCCCAGAGGCGTTGTTGGTGTTTCTCCTCCTGAAGGATGCAGCTCTCCATACCCCACAAGTTAGTGTGGACCTCCATCAAGACAGGCAAAGTAACCTAATCTATGAGCGCATTAGGGTGTCGGAAAACAATAATCCAAGAAGGAAACACATTATCTGTCCTTGTTACTTTACAAAGTAATTTAAATTAATTTTTCCCTAGAGTGGTTAGGGAGCACAGCAACTCGCCCTTGCCTATTCTCTCCGGCTAATGAAGCTTTACCAGAGACTGCTCGTGAATTCCTATTAAGACCTCATCTTAGAGGTTACAGGGCAAAGCAATTTCTGCTCCTGGGAAAGATGCCTATGAATTTGTAATTGTAAGGCCGTGTTTGATAGGGATTAGAATCTGAAAGGGGTAGAGTGGTGGGTAGCAGAGAAAACATTATTTCAATTAGCAGAAGAAAAGCAACTTAACATCTGATTATAGTTTACAGTTTCAATTTTCTCCTATTCTGGCATTTGGGATAATTATTTCCTGAAATCATCCACACCCACCAAGCAGCCAACTCTTCCTTTCTTTTCCTCCTGGTCATGTTGGTAGTGATTGACATGGGAATGGCTGATGAGCTGGCTTTGTTCCTTTCTGTTCTTCTCCCAGGCAATAGCCAGACTCAGGGAATGCGGGGATGGAGGGGAGGATGCTGTGGCAAGCCTGACTAAAATGAGATGAGCTGTTTCCCATCATGCCCAGGAGGTGTAGGACATGGTGGAGCTTTGCTCAGCTGTTGGGTTCATGGCTGGTGTAGTGGTCAGCAGCATGGCACAGTGCTAATGCCCTTTGCTCCCACTCACAAAATGGTGCAACTGGGAAAACGTTTAAGGAGACTGGAAATGCCCTGGGACACCTAATGCTCAGATCTTTCCTCTGCACTCAGGAATTGCCTCTCATCACTCATTTACTTTCCTCCCAGCCTACAGAGGCAGATGCCTTTTGCTCTGTATGGACTTGCCACGACCCACGGTCCTGCTGCTTTTCTCTACCTTATTGGTCTCCTGCTTCCTAATGGCGATGCAATCGGTTTTCAGGCTGGAGATTCCTCGTAAGAAGGCATGTTGTTATTTAAGGAAGATCATGAAATCCATCCTTAATGAAAGGATGGGAGAAACCCTTTCTACCAAGTTACGCTGAAGCCTGAGATTATCATTTTTATGGGCTTCCAATCTCTCCAGCCTTGTGTCTTATCAGCAAATGCAGCTGGAGGCTTCAAAACACTCCCAGCTTGCTGCTGATTTTGTGGGATGAAGATTAGAGATGATCAGATAGTGAATTATTCATTCCACTTGATATCTCTGGGCAGGAGGGAATATCCAAGCAAAAGTCAGCTCCCTCCTAGCTGTCTGAGCATCTCCTGCTCTTCCAGGGAAGAGTAGAGGCAAGGGGCCAGGCTGACGTGAACACAGAGCCAGAGCCTCAGAACCATTGGCCCCACCAGCCTCCTTCACCTGGTGGGCAGAGAAGCAGCAGCAATGGTTTAAAAATGAATGAAGGTAGATTTACATTGGATGTAAGAAAATTTGTCACGATGAGGGTGGTGAGGGAATGGAGTAGGTTCCTTGGGGAAGCTGTGGATGTTCCATCAATGGAAGTGTTCAAAGCTGAGCGGGATGTGGCTTTGAGGTCCAGTGGCAGGTGTCCCTGCTTATGGTAGAGGGATGGATTAGGTGGTCTTTAAGGTCCCTTTCAACCCAATGATTTTGTTATCTCAGAGGAAAATGAAGAGAGTAGCACAGGCCTAGAGTGGATGAAGGGTCACAGACACAATACCAATGTTAGAGACCACCTACCAGCTCCTGTGGGACCTCTTTGAGCCATGTAATAAAGCACAGGGTGGGGTGAAGGCCCCGTGGAACACGTTGGGGCAGCCATGCTCTACTGCATGACGGCAGCTGGGTGCCAGCAGCGGTTATTACACAGTCCAATTGGACATTGTTTCATGAAATTCCTCTGGGGGGTGGTGGCTCTGGATGTCCCTTGTCCTTCTCCATGCTTCCCAGACCTTGCACAACCCTTCTGCCAAGTGACTCTGCCACTGAATAACTGGCCAAGGAAATAGCTCACCCATTGCAGGAGGGGAACGTCCTGCCAACCCTGACTTGACCCTGCTGGGGAGTCTGGGCAAAAACCCACATTTTCAATGGAAGAAAAAACATATTTTTTTATTTTTGCACTGTTCAGGTTTGCTTTTATCTACTTTATCTATTTATTTATTTCTTTATTTTTATGTCTCTTTCTGGTGAAGTGGGGGGGAGATGGGGTGGATGAAAGAGGGGAGGAGGGTGAGAGGGAGGAAGGAAATGAAGGAAAAACAACCCAACCTCCATACAAACACTGAAGCCCACAACGTTTCTCAAAGAGGAACTGGCATCTGCTCTGAGCCGTATCACCCAGGAACACATTTTAGGCTCAGGAATGTGCTCTGAGCCAATGTTAATTTTGGTTAAAAAGAAGGGAAAAAAAAAAAAAAAAAGGAAGAAATGTCAGGTTTTTTTGAGGATATCAACATAATCCTGAAATGCCAAGACCTGGATTTGTCCAAGACCCGTTCTATGGGAAACAGCTCCTAAAAGTCCCTTGGAGAGAGCTGGGCTGGGGCTCAGTGCTGCAGACAGAACTGCCCTTCTCTGCCTCAGTTTCCCCCTTCAGTAAAATGTCTCCAAAAGGGTTTGCTCTGCCACATCCCTGTGCTGCTGAGAGCATAAATGTGAGGGATGGCAACACATCCAAAGTGCTGCAGTGGGAACTTGTAGCACCTGGTCTCTGCTTTGCATGCTTCCACTGCGAGAATTCCACACGCTTCCACTCCTTCCACAAAAGGACGAAGCGGTGGCAAATTATTTGCTGAAATTTCTGATCTTGTCCCTACAGTAAACCCATTGCCATTGCTGTTCCTCATCCCCCCCCCAGGCCTGGCTGAGTGACGTGCAGCCAAGCAGGTGCCACTGGGCCCTTTGGCCACAGTTGTGCATACCTCCCTAATAGCTGCCATAGGCTCAGCAGATGCCTGGGAGCAGAGAAGAGCTTTGAGATAAGCAAAGGAATGAGTCCCTGCCCTCATGGCCAAGGGCAGAAGAAGAAGAACCCTGCCTTAAGGTTCTTCTTTCTTTGGAAATCAGCCCTGCTGTCCCTGGGGCTGAGCTGAGCAGAGAAGATGGGAAGAAGTCCCCGAGTATGGAGGGGCTGAGAGCAATGCAGATGCAGGGTGGGCAGCAATAGGTGGCAGATGTTACAAGTGCTGCACTTGCTAAAGACAGACCCAGGACTGGGTGTTGGTGAAGCTTTCTGCTGAAGGCAGGCTTTTTTTCTTTTTTTTTCTTTTCCTTGTGAGGTTGTGCTAAGGAATAAGCAGCCAAGAGCACAAGACCTGCGTTCTTCTTTGGAATTGATAACATGCAAATATGTTGCTGGGAAACCAAAGGTCACTCTCATTATTATTTCTTCCTAAGCCAGCTCATCCCTTTTGGTTTGTAACAGCATTGCTTTTAAAGGGACACACTATAGGCAGGTCCTTCCCAGGTGCATGGAGAGAGTTCCCTCCTTGGAGAGACCTTTCCCTGCATGAGCAAAGCTGGTGGGGCTGAGGCTGAGCCCACCTTGTGCTGCATGGGGGATTGAGGCATGGGCAGATGAGTGTGCAAAGGAACTCAGGGGAAAGCTGGGGGCTGGGCTTGTGCACCTCCATTTCCAGGATAAATGAGACTGCTTGAGATCTGGGGAAAGCAGGGGAATGAAGAGCAGGATGACAGCACTGCTGTCGTGTGTTTCTATCTCTTGTGGTGTCGAAAAACTTCAGGATCAGCCCTGAAGGCTCAATAAAACCAGCGTTCTGTTTATGATGTTTAATAGCCTATCTAGCAACGTCTGTTGCAGCAATCAGCAGTGAGGCCAGTTTAATAAAGGATGTTTCTAAGCCACAAATGTGTTTTCCCAGCTTGTTAATGACACTTGGTGCAAAGGACGCAGCATTCCTCTCCTGCACCTGGCACTCCGTTTCCCTGCTAAGCTGTGCTGTGTGTGGGATTCGTGCTCTGTGGGTGCTCCCCAGGACTCCAGCGCTGGGATGGGGCACAGGGGTGGGAAGGGGTTCCTAGGGGAGCCCTTGTCCCTGCTCTGTGGGACAAGAGGTGCTGACGGGGAGCTCTCAGAGCTGAGATTTCAGCTCTCTGCTCGGCCGCATTCCCCAAAGACCACAGCAGGGATTTACCGATGAGGGCGTTAGTTCTTCCTCCCGCACCCGTACAATCGCTGTCCGTGTATCTCGGCTCCCTTCCAAGCCCTAAGGGAACAGCCAGGTTCAAGTCACCTTGCCCCAAATTCCCCTTAATCCCTCTCTCTGGGGCGGAAGAAAGAGACACCTCCTCCACACCCTCCTCCCCTTCCCGGGGTCGGATTTGAATATCCAGGTGTGAGCATCGGCCACCCTCGTTAACAAGTTTGATAATTTACCCGGCTCGTTCCTGCCGGAGGGATCTGAACGCAGCGCGGCTCCTCCCGACCCCGCAACGCCGTTCGCAGCCCCACCGCCCCGCATCGTAACCCTGCACCATGCCGGCCCTGCGGCTCCTCGTCCTCGGGCTTCTCCTGGCTCTGGAGCCCGCGAGCTGCCAGGAAGGTAAGAGCTCCATTCCTGGAGAAACCGAGGCACGAGGGGTAGGGGTGGCTTTTGGGACAGGAGAGTTGCTTAGGAAGGGGAAAAATGCCTCGGTTCCCCCTGCAGCTCTGCCTTCCTATGTGAGCTCAGTGGTAGATCTGGCTGCAGATGGAACAGTCTTTACCTGTTCAGCTTGATGCCAGGTTACACTTCGACGCAGCAGCTCCAACTGATTCCCAGCACTTAAAGATGGGCGATGTGTTTTCTTACAGATTGCTTTCTTATTTGCCTCTGGAAGGCACTGCTCTGCTTCTCGCTCTCAAAGTGGCAGGATTTGTTAATTCATAGTTCTGATCCCTGTGGAGGTAGTAGGGCCAAATATTTTCCTCTGCAAATCATGCTTTCATTCCCTTCCTGGAGACTTAATAGAGAAACTTCCTATTGCTCTGACATTATTTTTACGAAACTTGGGGCTTGTCTGACACTACAAATAATCAGGAGTAATTAAAACAAATCAGGTCCTGCCAAAGAGCTGGAAAATTCCTTCCCCCTTTCTCCGCCTGATGCTCTGGCCTTGACCGCTCTTCCTCTATTTGTTTACCAACTCGTGAAAGACTGAGCAGTGTGGGGTCTCCACTGTCAGCAGGATTGGATGTTTTGCTGCTGCCTTGAAAGAAAAAAAAGAAGGAGAAGAAAAAAAAAGCCTTTAGTGAAGTTTCAGAGCTGGCACAGCTTCCTCGGCCATAGCAAAGCACTTGCACAGCTGCCCAGGGAGGTGATGGGGTCACTGTCCCTGGAGGCATTAGGAACCATGGGGATGTGGCACTGAGGGACGTGGTCAGTGGGCACGGTGGGGTGGGGTTGGGGGTGGTGGTCTTAGAGGTCTTTTCCAATGTCTAAGATTGTATGAAAGCTCAGGGGACAGCTGATGCCTTCTAAGCACTCAGGAAAGATGGCCCAGAAGTCCTGGATGTACCTTCAGACCAGCCTTGGAGCATGGAAACAGAGTTACAGCACATGAAAGGGCTTATTTTGGCACTGGTGTTTTCCCTCGTCTTGTTTGTAGCTGCAGATGGATGTGTGTGTGTCTGCCAGGGAGTGCAGAGTCTGCATCCCACGCTGGTTAGTTGGCTGAGGAATTCCTGCGTGATGGAAAAAATCATCATTACTATGGGCAGAAGGGAGATGAGATGGCAGGGATGCTCTAGGAGGGATGCCTCCATTGAAACCTTTTTTGGGAAGGGGTCTCTCATCCTCAGGGTCATGCACCTTGTTGAGCACTTTGCCTCTGCTCTGGTTTTCTGCTCATATTTGTGCACTGTGTTCTCGTAGCCCCTGGCACGAGGCTGTGAGGCTGCTCAAAGCCAGAAGTGCCCCATTCTTGTGTACTGCTCATCCCTTTAGCTCTGGGTGCTCTGAAATTGCATGGGAACAACGGTCTGAGGGAAGCTTTGCTCGCAAAACCTGTATCTCCTGAGCACAGCTGGCTGTGGGAGGTCTCCTACCATTTATCTTCTCACCTTCCCTCTTGGAAGACCAAGAGAAGAGAACTTGGAGGTTTTAGTCGCTGCTGAATGCCATAGATAAGTTGAGGTGGGAAGGGATCTCTGGAGGTAGCCTGCTCAGCCTCAGTAGAAACACCTATGACAGGGTGCCTAGGCCCAGCTCCAGGCAGCTTTTTGAAGATCTCCAAGGAGAAACATGCTCTGGTGCCCCATCACCTGCACAGCACAGGACTTCCTGCTGTTTTGACAACAATCCATTCCCAAGCTGACCCTGAACTCCCTCAGTCCCATCACAAACCTCATTGCAGTCTGGAAACCATGGCCCCAGCAGGAAAATAAAACACAAATAATAAATAAATCTAGCAGAGATAACAGCCAAGGACTGAGCGAGGGAGGAAATGAAGCTGTCAGGCCCCCAGGGCAGGGGGAATGTTTGTCTTTGGGGCTGCACTGCAGGGCAGGAGCATCTCCTGCCCATTGGGTAGTGCAGGTGGTGACCAAGCCCTGCTCCCTCTGCCTGCTGCCACCCGTGTGGCACTGCTCAGCGCTGATCTGAGGGGCTGCAGTTGCGGCATGTGGATACAAGAGGGAATTTCCGCCTGGATTCCTCCTGTCTGAGTGTCGATCCAAAGGCTTTGCTGTGAGCACATCTGCACAGGCAGGAGGAAGGGTGAGACAGCTGCCGGCAGCACAGGCAGCGTGCCTGTGGGGGGCTGGTTTGCAAACACAGGTTGCATAGTCCACTTTTATTGCCTCTGGGGAAGGTTATCTGCAGTTGAGAGCAGAAATTTGTCTGGACAGCGTGTTCAGCCATGTAAGTCTCTGGAGCTGGGCTGAAGTGTTCCCACTGGTGTCTGGTGGCAGTGGCTCTGACATGGCTCTGCAGAGCTCAGCTCCCTTCTGTGTGTTGCTGACACTGTGCTGGAGAATCTCACCCAAGCGGGCAAAGCACATAAATGCATTTCTAATCCCTCTTCTCCTTCTTTCCCTGCAGCCAGGGGCAAACTTCAGCCTTGGTCACAAGGTGTCATTGCTGTGGTGGTGTTTCTGGTGCTGGTGGCAATCTGCTTCGTGGTCAACAGGTTCTGGTGCAAGAAGCAGCAGTGAGTGCTGGGGCCTTGGGAGTGCTTGGGGCTGTCCTGTTAGTTGCTGGATAAGGTGGCCAAGCAGTCACAGCACTGTGATGTGGACTCAACCCATGGGAGATGCAGTGTGGGGCCACTGCTCAGCTTGGCTGACCCTTGCCTGCCTGCTGGGCTATAGGACATGGTCTAGAAGCCCAATGTTGATGAGGACAAGCGCTGGAGGTGCTTTCCCATGGGCTGAGATGTGCACACATGCACACAAACACTGTGCTGTGCCAGGGGAGGCACAGCCCTGCCTATCTTTCCCTGTCACTCCTGGCTGCGGGTGATCATTTTGCAACGGCGTACACAGAAGGCAACTGGAAAAACCAGTTAGCAGGAGAAAACAACCCTTTGTATGTGTGGATGGATGAGCAGGAGCACCCTGCTGAGATGCCATCAGATCTTGCCAGGGTCACACGTTTCTGAGAGTCTCATATTATCCCCATGGTGTCCCCTTCTCTCTGCTGCTCTCCCCTTACCCCTGCACAGCCCCTATTGTTGGGATCTTTCCTCTCCCATTCCAGGGATAATGTTGAGACAGTGGTGAGCATCGGGGCCAAGGAAGAGGCTGTTGTGCCCAACGGACGTGAAGGGACATACGTGACCTCTGCAGTGGACTTCAGGTGAAGCATCCCTCCCTGTGACCCTCAGGCTCAGCACTCGTGTCCTGTTCTGTCCTCTGGCAGGTGTTGGGACACGATGACAGCTTGTGCTTCTCCCTCTGACAGGTCCAAGGAGAACAAGCACGCCTATGAAAACACTTTGGATCTAGAGGAGAAGGTGATCACCACTGCCATGTAGCACCAGCTGGTGGCGGGACCCTCTGCACTGACATCCCCATGCATGGCAGCTCCTCTGTCCCAGGCCTTCAGACTTCTGTCCCTTTGTTAGACCCTAGGAGAGGTCTGGGGCTGTCACCTCCCCAGTCCTTTGGCCACCCCCCCCACCTTCTCAGCTCAGCTGATGTCCCCCACCCCCTGGACCAGGGGATGCTGACCCACTCCAGATGCTGCTGCATGCATGGGACCCCATGTTCCCTCCCCATATCCTTTCCCCTCTGGGAAACTGTCAATGGAGAACCCACTCTCATGTCAACATCTCATCCTCCTTTTTATGAACAAAGGCTCCATGCCATGCATTTCAAACTCAGAACAAATCGCCTCCCCTGTACATATCTTCTCTGCCAGCAATAAAGAGAATTGCTGTCCATCCAGGCTCATTCTGCTGGTGATCCATAGGATTCTCCAGCAGCTCATGACACTCCCAGTCCTCAGGCACTTCAGAGAGGGTGGGACAGTATGCAGAAGGATGCTCAGAGAGGGGTCAACACCTCATGGGTGGGATCCATTGCTTATTTCCTAGCTTAGATTTCCTTAGCATCAGGGGATGTAGCTTGAGATACCATGTACAAGTTGTGACCTGGTGTCACGGACTGTTGCAAGCTCCTTTTCTGCAACCACAGCTTCTGTAGGTGATGCTGCTGATGTTCCTGATGGATGGGGACAAAAATTCAGGTGTGGTGCAAAATGGGAGTGTCCCCATGCCAGATATCTCCCCATGAAGGTAAACATCATGGAGCCAATGCTGAGAAATCACAACTGGCATCAGGGAAATTAAACGGGGTGGAAGATGGGGCAGAAGGTTCAGAAGGGCTGAGCCCTGTGGTGCAGCTCTCCTTTTGCAGATGAAGGCTGTGTTGTGCTAGAAGTGCTTTTGTGACTGCAGGGCTGCAGCAGGATCTGGGTGCTGCTCTGAAATGAGTGTCACTGACACTGCCTCATGCCCAGGTAATTTCGGGGCGTATGGCCATAGGGATGGGAAGGAGTCCCCTCCCCACCCCCCCAGCTCACCTCCTGGCTTTTCTCTGGTGGCTGCCACACTGCACAGCTCTGACAAACAAGCTTCCCAGATCTTCCTGGTAATGATTTGCTTAGCAGAATGTACAAGGATTACTCATTTTTCAGCCTGCTGCGTCAGCACTCTGGCTCGTGGCTCGAGGAGTGGCAAAAAGATTGGAACCCATTAATTTTTTACCTCTCAGTTGCAAAAGAAGTTACAAAACAGCAGCCTTATAATGAGTAACAAGTTGTCCCCGACCGCATGCACGCCCTGGGTGAGCCATGATGGGTTTGGGATGGGCAGTGGTGGCAGGTGGATGGTTGGACTAAATGATCTTAGAGGTCTTTTCCGACCTTAATGATTCTGTGACGCAGGGCTGCTCAGTGTGTGGCATCCCATTTCTGAGGAGGGCAGATGTAGGTCTGGGCAAGGGCAGGGATGGGGATTTTGGGATGAACCCAGGCGGTCTCTAACAAACAAAACGGAGCAAGCATAAATGAAATTTATTGTTGGAAAATCTTAATTAGACTTTAAGCCCCAAAGGGAGAAAAGTGAGGTATTATCTGACGCAGCTAATGAGTGTTAAGGGTCTATTGTTGTCTTTCTTGTTTACCTTTCTGTGCTGGTTGATATGGCCTGGATCCTCACCTGCGTTGCCATAATTAGGATATCTCATCTCCCACTGATAGGGCTGGGGATGCTGTTTGTAGCACAACGCTGCACCATCCCTTCCTGGTGGAGGAGCATGGTGAGGAAGACAGTGTCCTGGCACCCATTGCACTCCCCATGAGCTGGGGGATGCCCTAGGGCACCCTGCAGTACATGAAACCTCGGGGTTCATCAAATCATAGAATGGCTTGGGTTGGAAGGGACCTCAAAGATTATCTATTACCAATCTCCTGCCATGGGCAGGGTTGCCAACCATTAAAATCACCTGCTGGCCCCAGGTGATACCACTAAAAAAGGCACGTTAATTCTGCCTTACCCTGAGGATATGTAAATTATTCCAGGTGGTTATTCCATTATTCCATTATTCCATTATTCCATTCCATTATTCTAGCAACTGAGGGGTTGCTGTATAGGGTTGAAGTGTTGCAGAATAGGAGGTTTGTTCCAGCCTTGCCCCACGCAGTGCAGCCTTGGCTTGTTGTCTTGGTGCTGGGCTCCTCAGCATCCAAGCAGTGGGATTTGGACCTGCAGAGCACAAAGGGAGGTTTGGCACCACTATGGGAGTGAGTAACAGTGCTAGAACACATGGAGGGGGCTATCACAGCCCCTTGGGGTGCTGCCTGGTGGCATCGGTGCAAATGGGAGCAGGGCATGTGAGATAGATGCGTGTGGGCAATGGGGCCACAAAGTTTTTGGTCTTGATTCAAGGTACTGAGAGCCAGTAGTAAAATACCATCCATTGTTGATTCATACACCCTTAGTAGCTAAACAAACATCCCTGGAGCCGGTCCTTATCACTTTATTACACCTGCTAGAGTGAATAGATTAAAGAGGACAGGGGAGGGGGGAGAAAGCAGAAGAATCCAGGAGGAAAAAAAAAAAAGAAAAAACAACCAGGTTTGGGGATTGTTAATTATTCTCTGGGGTCTCTAATCTTTAACTGGCAAACAGCATCGCTAACTGTCTTAAAGCCCCTCCTGGAACATCCTGATAATAAGCCATCTGCATGAAGGCACCCCGTTATCTGCCCTCCTCCAGCCGTCTGTGACATGGCTGGAGTGGGAGATAATGGATGTGCGGCGTGTAATAACGACACGTCATTCATGATTATCGGCCTGATACTCAACCTTTTAGCTCCATTGTTTGTGCATTGAAAAAAAAAATTAAAAAAAAAAAAAGGAAAAAAAGGGAAGGGGAGGGAGGGAAAGATGGGGGGGAAAAGGAGGATTTTTGGTGCTGTGTGTACAGACTAAAGCATCTCCCTGCTAAACAGGCTGGCTCTGGTGGCATCTCCCTGAGGGGCTGTGGTACCCGGTAAGGAATCGCCCATCCGGATGCTGTATCCATGGTGATGGATGGAGAGAGATGAGGCAGCACAGAATTGTCACTGCCTGGCAGGATGTTTGGGGACAGGGCTCGGGAGATGAGGTCTCCAGCGCTCTCTCTTCGTGCTGCTTTTGCAGTGGTGTCAGTGGAGGAAGTTGTGTTGCACAGCCTTTTTACAGGGAAGATGTCTGGAGGTGGCAGAGCAGAAAGACCAAATCGTTCCCTGCACCTAAGAGCTCAGCCCCTCGAGGATGTGGGATTTTATTCTTTCAAAGCTGGGGGGAGGAGGAGAGCTGGGGCAGATCTCTGAGATCAGCGTGAGCCCATGGGTGCTGCAAGGGTGACGGCATCAGCACTTCTACCTGCGTGCAGCCCCTGTGCCTTATTCTCGATGCTCGCTGTGTCGGGAACAGGCAATGACTCGTCTTCCTGACCCTAACAACTCCGCCGCGAGCCCATAGGCAGTACCGGGCTGTGCTGCACTCAGAGCCAGAAGGGCAGATTTGGATTTTTCCCGGTTCTCTCAGTGCCACCCAGCGGAGCTGCGCGGACCTGCAAGCTGAGCTGGTGAAAAGGGGGGTCCCACGGCCGCCCCCCCGGCCCCCAACCTCACGGGTTGCGCATAGAGAATCTCCCCGTGCCCTCCCCTAAGCCCTTCCAGCACCGCTCTCTGGTGGTGGTTTTTGCCTTTCACTCGGGTACTGAGCGCTCAGTTCTCAGCCCGTACAGGAAAAGTCTTGGGACCAACCCGCGCTTTGTTTCTGCCCGTGGATTTTTGTCATTGCCACCCCTGCTTTTGTTCTGCTGCTTTAAAGGCAGCTTGCTGTGGTTATTTCCTTACCACAGAAATGCTAACATGGTGCAAGACAAGGGCTTGGTGTCCTGTAGCATGGAAGGGCTGTGAGCTCTCTTCTCAGGGGATAAAATTCCTTCAGTAGTATTTGTGGCTTGGGGAAATGCAATGCCAGGGCTGCACCCTCCTGCAGAGCAATGGGCGCAACTCATTCTCAATGAGGCTCAATTGGCCTCTTCCTCTCCTACTGACTGTAGGTGCAAAAGAATCCAGGGACATGCTCCCAGACCACCTCGGCAAGGCTTTATTCACATTTTAGAGGAGGATGAAGGTCATGTGGTGCTGAGGGCTTTCTCCAGGCTACCCACTGACTAAACACCCTCAGCTCCAGGAAGTTGAGTGTCAGGTTGGGAAAACATGCTGGTATTCATTTATGTAATGCTAGGCACAATGCCAGCCTGCAGCTCATCAAGGCAGGGCTCTTCCCTGAGCTTAACGTGGAGGTGCTCAGATAGAAATCCCATCAGGACAGGCTGGAGATGAGGAGAATGCAGAAGATCCCTGCTAGCCCTCCAAAAAGCCTCAGCTGTGCTTTTCCTTCTGCAAGGAGGAGACTTGAAGCTGCTGGGCACAATGGGCTCAGTGCAGGGTTAGTGTGGATGAGACATAAAGGTGGATCTGGTGGGTATAGCCCTCCCCAGCCCTGGCATTCAGGAAGGCTGCAGGTTGGCAACTCTGAGAGGAGAGTGGTCTTTGGGAACTGCTTGTGCCACCTCATAAGGTCAGCGAATCTTTTTCAAATGCAGATGGATGCCGCTGCTGGACTTGAGGATGAGCTGCTGTGTCAGGGTAGGAGGCTTGCAGGCATTAGGGAACAGCTCGAAGCAGAGCAGGGTCAGTGCCAGAGCCACCTTCATCTCGTTCATAGCAAACTGCTGCCCAATGCAGTTCCTGGGGAGAGGACAAAGGTTCAGATTGAAGCCTGCAAGTTATGAGATTTGCATCCACAGTGCCTTGAGTGTGGGAAGTGCTCTAGAACTGGCAAAGCTCAGTAGAGATTCCACCATGGAGACTTCTTGAGATGGCCAAGCCAATTTGACCCAGGGGTGCTGAGGGGATTAGGCTCAGGAGCACAACCCCATGCACCTATGAGGAGGGAAGGGGATGAAGGATTTGTTACCTGGGTCCTGCAGAGAAAGGCAGGAAAGCGTGCGAATGCCTGTGTGCTGAGTTCTCAGGAGAAAACCTCAGGGGATCAAATACCTGTGGGAGGAACAAAGGCCATTTGGTCAGCATTGGCCTAACCATGAGTGGCACCAGGTTCTCTGGTGCCCAAGGTAGGGCTGGAATGGCCTTTGCTGCTCCAGGAGAGCTGCAGCTGACATTCATTCATTCCTCTGCAAAGCCACTGGATGGATGAAAAGAGGGTGCTGGTGGCTTTGCTGATGTTCCCCTTGGAGATATCTCATCAGAGCTGCTGAAGGCAGGAAGAGTAGCTCCATTTCACCTTGCATAAAGGCAAGCTATTGTATACCCTTTTCAAAGCCTTTGGGGTGTTTGGTAACATCACTGAACTTTACAT